TCATTTTCATACAATAAACGTGTATTTTCTATACAAAAATTCCGGTTTCATATTTACATACCTGGTACATAAATATTTATAGAATATGCTACGCATATTCTAATGTTATGTGGGAATTTTATATACAGTGTGTCCCATAAGTTCGACAACGGCAAGAAAACTCGGCGGGGGAACATTTTAGAGAAAAATGTTTCCAATAAAACTTGTAAGGCTTAAAGAGTCGCATTTAATGACAGTAGTTATTTGACCTAAGATGACGTCGCCAAGGTCAGGACAAGGTCAACTTTGCTTTTTTAAATAGAAATACATATTTTTTATTACGGGATTTTATTCTACGTAAAAAAGCAAACAACTTTTGCTTGAAAAAATTTTTTATACGACCTCTATTTTCTAAGATATTTACGTAAATATCTACAAAATTATTGGTTTCAATAATTTTTTACTTGAATTCTATTAACTTTACCGAAAAATATTAAGAGATAAAAATTGCTTATTTTGTTTTCAAAGAGCTCTGAGAATTTTTTCAGAATTTTGTGTTAACTTTTTAGTACTTCAAGAAAATGCAAGAAAATGCAGTACTAAAAAATTAATATAAAATTCTGAAAAAATTCTCAGAGCTCTATGAGAACAAAATAAATAATTTTTATCTCTTGATATTTTTCGGTAAAGTTGATAGAATTCAAGTAAAAAATTATTGAAACCAATAATTTTGTAGATATTTACGTAAATATCTTAGAAAATAGAGTATAAAAAATTTTTTCAAACGAAAGTTGTTTGCTTTTTCACGTAGAATAAAATGCCGTAATAAAAAATATGTATTTCTATCTAAAAAAGCAAAGTTGACCTTGTCCTGACCTTGGCGACGTCATCTTAGGTCAAATAACTACTGTCATTAAATGCGACTTTTTAAGCCTTACAACTTTTATTGGAAACATTTTTCTCTAAAATGCTCCCCCGCCGAGTTTTCTTGCCGTTGCCAAACTTATGGGACACACTGTATATATAATTATATATATATTTATATTAATTTAAATATATTTTCTAAATGATATTTTGTATCAATATGTATCAATATATTTGTATCAGTATATTTTGTATCAATTTGTAAATTTCAATATACCCTATTGTGACCCGGATACGGAAGTGTTTCTTGTATGTTTTTATATGATTTTATTCATGTAAGGAAGCACGTGAATTATTTACATTTTGCCTAACTGGTACCTGGTATTATCCCTTTTGCGGAAAATAGAAATTCAAATATTTAATAATATTTCTAAATGTTTTATTTTACATGTAAAGCATTTCTTTTTTATAGAAGTATCAATTTTTGTATAATTTTATTCGTGTGGGCGTATGAACTTTTTTACTTTTTTTAATAAAAAAAGTAGATTTGTATGGATATCACATCTTTTTTTTACAAATATTCGCGTATCATATTCACTTTATCATATTCACACTTATCTATTTGTCTTTACTGTATTCGCTTTTACTTTATTTCCGTTTACTCTAATCATCTTTATTATATTAATGTTTACCATATTTATTTTTACCGTATTTGCGTTTATAGTATTATCGTTTATTGCATTCTCTTTTATAGTACTCATATTTTATAGTACTCGTTTTTATAGTACTCGCGTTTATCGTATTCGCCTTTATCGTATTAACATTTATCATATTCACTTTACCATATTTGTGTTTATCGTATTTGTGACTTCTGGCTTTGCACTGGAATATTTTTTCTCATCAAATCTCTACCCTTATAGAAATATCATACTAAGAATCATTGATAATTACTTATTATCCAGTATTTTTAATACTGAAAATAAGTAATTATCAATGATTCTTAGTATGATATTTCTATAAGGGTAGGGCTTCTTCATTCGAAACTAAAACGGCCCGAGCACAAACTTTTGCATAATGCATAACAAGAGAATCAATCAATTAGAGTCTTTAATTTCCATCCTGGAAATGTATTAATATTATCTCGTCAAAGAGTGCCTAATACATAAGCACACGACAGCACACACATCATTACTATAGCTCATCCATATTGCTCGTGATCATTCAGTAATCTTTTTTAATTAATATCTCGAGATCTACCACAAATATTGTAAAAAATGATATGAAACTTTTATGTTCACCTCAATCTATTCTACGTTCCCATGAACGTTGCTGAGGCGAGTCTAGAACACCCTGTATACACACACACACACATTACGGTTTCACAATTTGTTTCTATATTTCCATTTTGATTTAGTCTAATCCTAATTTAGACGAGAGCCATATTCGTATAAAATAAGAATCTTATTTTTTTTGGTTTCAGATTACTACAAGAGACGACGGCTATATTATGCAGGACACAGGAGTGTTACGTTGCATCCTCTAACTCACAAGGAACATTCGCGAAGTATGTGTCTCTGATTTCGATGAAACTTGGCATATTTATAGAATGGCCAAAAATAAGAGACCCATATATTTTTTATCGGCAATGACTCAAGTTTAAAGGATGAAACTACTCTTCAAAGTTTCATGCCCTTTTTGCTCAATCTATAACTATTGGAGATAGAAAGAAACTTTTTAGTCCATTTTATTTTTTATAAAAAACTTTTATCTTAAATAACTTTTGTCTAAAAAGTTTTTTTTCCGAAATCGGAGACACATATTTCGCGAATGTTCCTTGTCAGTCAATATGAGAACTTTAAGAATAAAAAAAATTATGTAATTTTCTAAAAACATAATAAAAATATACTAGAAAGTTAAAAAATGTATGTCTTATAATTTCTTTATAAAAATTTCTTTAATTCGTGTCTACAAACTACTCAAAATCTTTGAAGCCATAAAGCGCATTGATCGCTTTTGTTTGGTTTCCATGTCAACTGTCACGCTCTGCGAGAAATTTCTTACATATTACATTGTGAGTATTCCTTGCAATGAATTGCAAGGAAATAAGTAGAATATCTTACTTTACTTAAATCAAGTCCTTTTATATTCTATTTACAAGTTTTTCGCTATAAAATGGTGCGAACAATGGTGATGGATATTCGTGCAGAAATGCGTTCAACATATCTTTTTAGACCAGGACAGACACTTGAAAATGCAAAAGTAAGTCATTTTTATAGTGACTTTATTATGTTTAACTTATTATACTTAACTTATATAAATTATTAAAGAAACAAATCGCAGAATTGGAGAATGGGATTAAAGAGGAAAATTAAAAAGTACTGGCCATTATCGTATCATATATAATATCTTTCAATACAACTTTTTTCAAATATTTGAGGAAAATAACATAATTAGTTATAAGGTTAATTAGTACTAAAACAGACATAATCTCAAAATTATTTAATCATTCTATTTTATCAGTTATCGGTTTGATATTTGGGATTCTAGACTACTTATAAAAATGAATTTTATATGTACCAATTATTCTATTGAAAATTTCAATGTACTTTTGTAGGCATCTGAAAAAACTTTGGTATTGATAGTGCCAAGCAGTGCTTTTCAACGTTTAATAAACTGTACAACAGAAAAATATAGAATAATGGAGCAACGAGAAAAAAAATCTGCAATGCTAGTAGCATTGAAAAAAGCCACTTGTGAGAAAAGTAAAAGCTGGGACAATAAGTTAAAAGTACATTTATTTATTTTTTATGTAATAAATTCTGTAATTTGATCAAATAGAACAAGATTATGTAAGGATATCTTATTGTGGATTCCAAAGTAACACTATACATCTCAGAATCATCTTGAATGTATTCAAAATACATGAAGAATGTCTTAGGACATTCAACATATTTAGAATAAGTCAGTCAGCCAGGACCCTACGTTATCTATGTCTTAGTTCAAAGATCCAAAAATATACACATTTAAAATAATGAGAATAAAATATACCTAATCTTTACATAATTCAAATAATTAAAATATTTAATTAGTTCGCAAAATTTATTTCTGCCAATCGATAATATTACTGAAGTAGAATAATTTGATAACAGAGTAATGCAATGCAGAAACAAGAATTATTGTCAGAAAAAGCAAAGGCTGAAGAAGAGCGAAAAATCTTTGTCAAAGTAATGACTGAGAAGAAAGCAACAGAATGCGCAAAGGTGGTGAAGCAGGCAAGAATATTATTACTGCAAAAGAAGCCCTTATGCCGACGAATTAATAGTGCTTTCCTCACCTCCGAGGTATTTTCTTATAAAAAGAATGTTTATAATCTTGTTCGACATATTTTCCAGCAGTATAAAATTAAATTCAAAATGTTTTACTTCATTTCGGAATCGCATCAGTGTTTCAGAGAACTGGAGGCCCAAGTGAAGTTCCAGAAGATTATTAAAAATATAGATAAAGAACAAGATGTAGCATATGCTGATTTTATTAAGACGAATGTTATAAGATACAAGAAGCAAAAAAAGCAAGAAGCTGAAGAGCAAGCGAGACAGATAAGAAATTATAGAATGGATTTGAGGAGACAGTAAGTACTAATTTTTATAAGAATATTAATACAACTATTCTATATATAAAAGCTTAATACGTCTATAGAGGGAATATTGATATACCAATATAGATATTAGTGTGAACCCGCGATCCGATTTTAACAAAAAAGAAATAAAAAGAAATAATGATAACGATCATTTATACTTTATTTTATTTATACTTTATTTGTTTTTGTTTGTACTGTCCTTCGTTTTGTTTTTATACTTTAAGAGTTAATAAAATATAAAAAAGTTAAAAAATAACCAGCACTCGATTAAAAGATATTCTAATTTGAATAATGCCACTCGAAAGATTATCGTCCGTACCTATTGGAATTATTAGGTAGTAAACTTAATTCCTGCCGCTCGCTAGTAGAAGGTGCCGCACAGTGTGCCAAAAAGCATATTTGGTGGACAAAATTCTGCCTACGTCAAATTTGCGTCGATTTTGATGAAACTCTTTTTAAAATACTCGTGAATAGTTCTACTATAATGTCTCACTGCCAAAAATTTGAAAAAAGTAAACATAACCCCAAACTCCATTACCTGTTACCCCTAATTACCTCTAACTTCATCACACCATGGGCTGAAACTCTATCTTCAAATCTTATAGTCCCATAACTTCTAAACCTGATTATCCACGAGTTAAAAGCTCCATAATCCCATAACGAGGTTAACAGTTTATGGGATTTAGAGTTATGGGGATTTTAACTCGTGAGTAATCAAATTTAGGAGTTATGAGACTATAAGATTTGGAGTGATGGAGTTTCGGACCATGGTGTTATGAGGTTTGAACTAATTAGGGATAACAGGTAATAAAGTTTGGGGTTATTTTGTAGGGTTATATTTACTTTTTTCAAATTTTTGGCAGTGAGACATTATAATAGAACTATTCACGAGCATTTTAAAAAAAGTTTTATCAAAATCGGTGCAGATTTGTGATGTAGGTAGAATTGTCCACCAAATATACTTTTTGGCACATTGTGTGCCGGCTCAAACAATGGCGAGTTTCGACGGTTTCGTCGCATGTTTTATATAGTTTAGACATTGCTGAAAGCAATTCAGTTTTCACAAGTTAGACTTCTCGACGCCAAAGAGATTTTCCAATTGATTAAAAATAAACCGCGATAAGCTGTTTTTCCAAAAGGTGCTTCTTCACTACTTCGACCTCAAGAAAACAGCAGCTGAAAAGCACCGCTTATTATCCGAAGTATATGGTGATGAAACTCGATCGGAAAGAATATGTAGAGTTTGGTTTGAACGCTTTCGAAGCGTTGATTTTGACATGAGAGACAAAGAACATTCCGGACAGTTCAAAAAATTTTAAGATATCAAGCAAGAATTGTTCAATGAGGATCTAGCTCAAACGTTTTTAAAGTTATCGAAAGCGTTAAATGTTATTCCAATGGCCGTCTTAGAACGCTTGCATGTTATGGAAAAAATTTATAAGAAAGGGATATGGGTATCACATGAGTTGTCAGAAAATGTCATTTTGAATTGTTTGTCTATCGCAACTTCTTTGCTTGCCAGGCAAAGAAAAAAATTTTTTGTGACGTATCGTGACTGGCGATAAAAAATGGATTTATTTTGATAATCCCAAGCGGAGGATGGATGGACCTCAGTGGACCAATCATCTACTTTAACGCCGAAGAGGAATATTCATGGTCATAAAAACTTGTTTTGCATTTGGGACCAGGAAGATATGTTGTATTACGAGCTCTTACGTCCAAATGAAACCGTTACAGCTAATCAACAGCAATTATGTCGATTGAGTGACGAGTTGATGCGAAAAAATACTATCCGTAGTCAGCAATCGACACAAAGTCATTCTTTTGCATTATATCGCTTGACCGCATGTTGCGAAAAGCGAGAAGCAGATACTTCTACAGCTTGAATAGGAAGTCTTCCCACATCCAGCATAATCTCCAGACATGGCACCGTCGGATTACCATATCTTTCGGTCGATGTAACACGCACTTACGGACACACACTTCTCCAGTTACGAAGAAGTCCAAAAATGAATAGATGAATGGATCGCCTCGAAAAACACCGCGTTCTATTGTCGTGAGATTGTCCTGTTGCCGAAGAAATAGGAAAAAGTAGTAGAAAATAGAAGAAATAATTTTCACTAAGATATTCATTCATCTTTCCTTCGAAACAAATTAATTTTGGAGACGAGAAAACGGCAGGAATTAAGTTTACCACCTAATAGTTTTAAAATCGCTTGTATCTCAAGGGTTCTGGAAGTACAGAATTTTTAAAATATGTCTAAGAAATAACTTTGCTATTTTCTTGAGATATTTGAAAACGGCTAATGTTATTTAAAAGAGTTTTATTAATACCTATTTGTTACTGCTTTTTAAATCGTTTGTATATCGAAGCGTTCGGAAATATAACACATTCAATATACGTCAAAAGGTTAATACCAGGTGTAGAAGTATGAAACCGGAATTTTTTTATACAAATAAGACGTCTGTTGTTCGAAAGTGATAAATAATACTTTATTCAAAATAATTTCCACTGTTTTGAACATATTTTTCCCACCTCTCTGGCAGTATATGAATGCCGTGCCAAAAAAACTTTTCATCTTTTGAAGCGAACCAGTTATCTAGCCATTTTTCCACATTTTCATACGAATCGAAGCGTTGGTTAGCGAGAGCGTGTCCTAGCGATGCGAACAGGTGATAATCGGACGGAGCCAAGTCTGGAGAATAAGCCGCATGCGGTAGTAATTCCCAACTGAACGACTCGATCGTTTCCTTGACCCGTTTTGCTGTATGTGATGGGGCATTATCATGGAGCAAAATGACATTGTGTTGCCTTTTTGCATATTCTGGTCGTTTTTTAGTCAATGTTCGATTTAAATCGATCATTTGTTGTTGGTAGCGATTAGTATTGACGGTTTGACCAGGTTTCAGCAGTTCATAGTTCATAGTTCATAGTTCATAGTTCTTCGTTCCTCACGTCAAAATCACCACTTTTGAATTTTTTAAACCACTCGAAACACTGAGATTTACCAAGAGCATATTCACCGTAAGCTTCGACAAGCATTCGATGTGATTCTGCAGCAGTTTTCTTTAAATGATAACAGAAAATCAATGCTGTCCGCAAATCATAGTTAGTAGGCTCGAAACGTGACATGTTTAAGGTTATACAAAAATATACTAGAGAATGAAAGTTGGGGTTATGTTTGTTGACAATATTCGTCAGCTGTTAGGAGAATATAATAGCGCGGCAGTAGCGGTCTTACGGTCACTAAACTGAACGCTGGCACCATTTATAGGGGAATTCCGGTTTCATACTTCTACACCTGGTACATATTTTTGTTGTTTATACACACACATACACATGCGCATGTGCGCGCACACACACATACACATACACACACACTATTCACACACATGTACATACATACAGAGATATAATCTCTCGTTATCTGACCGAATAACGTATATCTTGTTTAACATTAATTCCCAAGTAGGAATTTATTATTGGCATCAAAGTGGCCCAGTATCGATTTATGTAAATAAATCTGGTATAGTAGCAGATGCCAGTACGGGTTTAATATTATGATACTGGGATGATATAAAAGAGCCAGTATCGGGAAATAGTACTGTCACAGTAACGAAAATTAGTACTACACCAGTATAAAAAAATACTGATTTCTAACACTGGGGAAGTATCTATTCCCAGTACTGAGCCAGTATCGATTCCTAGTAATTTTTATTATTTGTACAATTCTTAATATCGCAACTATATAGTACGGAAAGAAAGATCAGACCATGGTCGGGCTGCTCTCCTTTGTACCTATACATATCTATTTTTAATAGTCATATGAGGAAGAAATCTTCAGGCGATGGCTAGAATCGAACTCGAATCTTCCGTTTGTCAAGCAAGCGTTCCTATCACTGAGCTATCTAGATTTAGCGTTAGTAATCTCTTCCATTTTCCCATAAAGGAAATTCGTATCGTTCGTTTTTTTATACCGATACAACACTGGCCCAATATCCTTTATTGGCAGATTGTATACGATTCTTACTTACGTATTCAGTACTGATTCTACGAACAGAGCCAGTACCAATAATATAGCTTTTTTAATACTGGGCCAGTACCGAAAACGACAAACACTTCTCAGTAACGCCACAGTACATGTACAGTACGATTATCCAGTATTTATCCAGTAATCTTAGTACGGAGCCAGTACCAATAATACAGCTTTTTTATATTAGACCTAATATTGAACCAGTACCAAAACCAGACATCTGCTTTCGGGTATCGACCCAATATCGGGCCATTTTTCCGTGCTGACGAAACGTATACGATTCCTACTTGGGTTTTTATAATATAATCTTTCGTGATTCACCATAGGAAAAATTCCCTGAACAAAAATTTATAATAACAGATTCGAAAAAAATGACTTGAATATCAAAAAGAATATTTGAATATCTCAAAGATAATGTAACTTACTATTATAACTTGTACTTGAAAATGCTATACTACTGAAAGCCTTGAAGTTTCAAAAAAAATAATTTTAAAAAAGGTACAAATGAGTATTAGCAAAGCTCTTCCGAACAATATTTTTAGATATCTCTACAGACAATAAAGATACGTCTTAACCTTTTTACGTACTTTGAAAGTACTGTCCTTTTGAATCCCTCAAGGTATAAACGACTTGAAAAGCAGTACAAACAGTTGCTAATGAAGCTTTTTCGTATGACATAGGCCGTTTTCTAATGTCTTAAGAAACGACGAAGGTACTTCTTAGATATATAATATATATTTTAAAAATTCTATTAACTGAATCCAGTTATCCTTGTATCTGATTATATCTAAGCATAAATGGGAAGAATAATAATCAGATCTGAATTATATATAACATTATATCTAATTATATCTGAAAGATTTGATCAAATCTTGACAAAATCCATATCTGGTTTTTATCTGAACTTTTTTTCCCGGGTATTCATTCTAACCGATTGAAACATTCGCTTATATAATG